AATTCAATTACGTAAAGTCGTACGGATTTCTTAACGAGTTATCTAACCACTCGTGTAATAAAAATCATAAATGATTCACCCGATTGTTACCAGATTTCCCTACACCTCGATAACTTCGATTTCGTCCAAATCTGAACAAGGTTGGGAAAATCCAAATACTACGGAAAAAAATTCGGCCCCAAATTCCCCCCATTGATTTTCTATAACGACGGGAACATGTCGTTACAGTACCCTATGCTAAGTAGTATATATACTTTAAAAGTTCAAGAATTTGAACTAATTTTTTTAGCCCAAAAAGATAATTTTTTCATAGAAAATTTAACTAAAGAAGTCTAATAGACAGGAAACAAACACAAAAAAAATAAAGAAAAGAAAAGATATTCAATAATAATAATAAAACAAGATGAAAGAATAAAAAATCTTGTCACTAAACCCCTTTATTAATAGCAAACAAAAGGTACGTAATATGAACCATATATGTTTATTGTGCCTTATCAGAAAAGTTACAATCCTTCACAAAAGACACAATCCTTGGAAAAAGTCACAACCATTCAAAAAAGTCATCACAACTCTTCAATGTGAAAATGTGTCTACTTTTAATGTAATATAAATAAATAAACATCATATAAAATATAGAAGATATACTACATTGGTGTTTTTAGTTGGAGGTATGATAATAATTTAATTCAATTTAGTGAGTTTATGAAATAGGGGTGATTTCGTTAACACCGCTACGAGGCAGCCTGCAAACACTTGCACACTTCAGCCTTACACCCTCACGTTTTTTACTAAGTATAGAAATACTTAACTTTATTTTAGGCAACAAACTAAAGTAATGAACACAACACTTTACAAGAACTCTTCCCAACCTTTATTAATATCAAAATCAATACAAGGAAAGGCTTCACAAATTTATCTAAGGCCAGAACATTTCTCATTTGCCTTAGACGAAATTTCCACCTTTTAAAATTTCTGCACAAAGCAGTTACGGCAGTTACAATTGACATGTGTCCAACACTTGTCATTATAGAATTTAAACTAAGTCTCAACAGCTATAATTCTAGAGATAGAATATATTTCGAATTCAAATATATTCTAACACTTAACCAAAATTACAACATTCCAACACTTAGAATATTTCAGCCTACTTTCAACACTTAGAAGATTTCAGCCTACTTCCAACACTTAGTCTTATTTCAGCAACTCTTGTAAATGCCTTTGTCTTGCCATCGTCAAGTCCCACAACCTTGCCTTGTCAAGCCAACACACTGTCTTGTCTTGCCGACGACTCTGCCCACACGTAAGCCTTGTACGTCCAAGCTGCCTTGCCAACACCCAAGCACCTTGAACCTTTGATGCACTGTTTTGCCCACATACATGTCAAGACCAATGCCCAAATCCTTTCCATGCTCGCAAGTCATTTTCTTAGTTAGACTACGGGTCTAACAGACATATATATATATATATAGAGAGAGAGAGAGAGAATATATGGGGGGGGGGGGGGGGAGGGGCGAAAACCCCTATATATATTAGTCATCAAATGATAGTATGGACATGTGCTTATTGTGTCTTATCAGAAAAGTCACAACCATTTAGAAAAATCACAATCCTTTGAAAAGGTCACAACTCGTCGAAAAAGTCACAATAGTTTGAAATAGTGACAACTTTTCGAAAAAGTCACAACCCTCTAATGTGAAAAAGTGTATACTTCTAATATAATATAAATAAATAATTAAACATAAAAGATATACTAAATTGATCAACTTTCACATATAGCAAACATAAAAATCATATTTGTATTTTATAACTATAGTTTGCATAATTGCGCTCCATAACAAATTTTATGTTTGCTATAGAGCTTTTGATTTGTATAATTCGCTACAAACATCCAATTTTATACTAATTGTTCAGTTTTGTATAAATTCATTTATATATTGTAATTTGTATAATAAGATCTGTATTTGTATAATTATAAGTGTTTAGGACGAAAATATATGTATTTGTATTTGTATGTACACTTTTCTCTCACTTTATACAAACACAAACACATTTTATATCGAAATGTATAAAATGGCTAATTGTATATCGAAAATGACTAATTGTATATCAAAAATGGCTAATTGTATATCGAATCAGATGACAAAAAAAAGGGATGTTTGCTGCAAATTACAATTAAAATAAACTATGGCTATAACATTTAATTTGAATTAATAGTTTGGTGTTTCATACAATTTTCCCTACTAAATTTGGGTGTTTATTGTTGGGATATTATAGTAATTTACATTCAAGTTATGAAGTGTTTTTAGTGGGGATATTATAGTAATTTAGCATTCAAGTTAGTAAGTTATACTATAGTATTATAGTAATTATGTATAGTGTTTTTCCACGGATATAAATTATAATATTGTTCGTTGGGTTATGCTTTGTGTTGGGCTGTATATTTTTAAAAATTTCTCCAAAAAAGAAAAAAGAAATAGTTCATTTTTTTAAGTTAAACACACATTTGTAAAAGGGACCTTGGAAAAAGATGATTCATCGATGCTTCTTATCATATGCTTGTAATTAATAAAATAAAAAATAGTATCTCTATGTGTATATCTTTCATAAGAAGTTTCTACATAGTGAAATTGTAATTCTTATTTAATAAAAAACCATCTATTTTTCTCGTGTTTTTAATAGTGAACATGCAAATTAATTAGAGTAGTTTTATTAGTATGTAATATTCATTTCATAATTGTAATTCTTATTTAATACTCCCACTGTTCCATATTAAGTGAATTATTAAAGTTTATTTTATTATTCAAAATAACTGAATTGTTCAAAGTTCAAGATGAATGTTTGAAATTTTTTCCATATTTGTCGTGTACTTTGATGAAATTTGATATTTTCTAGGAGATAAATTGCACTAGTTACAATGTTATATTTATGATTTCACTAAGAATAATAGTGGAAAATATGGTTTAAATTATGTCATCGAATGTTTTCTTAATATTTGTGCATTGTCTCACAAATTTACTTAATATGGAATAGAGAGAGTACTCTCTCCGTTTAAAAAGGAATAATTTACTTTCCTTTTAAGTCTATTAAAAAAAAAGAGTTGACCCCTTTCTTTTTTGACAACACTTTAATTTCAACTTTCAACGTGACATGTTTAAGATCACAAGATTAACAAATATTTCGGTACATTTGACATGATTTTAATTTATGATCACAAGATTGAAAAATCTTGTTAGTTATTTTCTTTAACTCTGTGTCAAGTCAAACTAGATAATTATCTTTTGAGTGAAGGGAGTAACATAAAATAAATGGAAATATTAATTTATTTCCTTTTTTACCTTCCAAGGAAGTTGACTGATGAATTGCATTTGTTGCTCTTATCATATCTTCTACATTTGGAAATTTATTGAATTAGTAAGTTGTTGCACCATCTATATATAACATGACTAATGTTATGAATTCATATTGTACAAAAGAAAAAAAGATTATCATTGAAATTCGAGATATATAGTAATTGTGTTGAATTAAGATGAAGAAAGAATCAACCATGGTGCTTTCTATAATTTTTGTGTTCATTTTGCTAGGTAACATATTTTTTCTTTATGCACATATATACACATGTATATGTTGTGTGTGCGCGCACACACACATATAAAAGATTCAGATATATTTTAAACGTTTATGATTTGTTTACCTATCGACCTACAAAAGTCGTGTTATTGGTTAATTAACATTATTTTTTTCATGGATTAATTCATAGGTTCACCATCATGTGTGGTATTGGGAGATCAAACATGTCAAATACAAGATGATTGTGATGATTTTACATTATGCAAAGATGGATTTTATATATGTTTCTTGGAGAAATGTATATGTATACCTACACCAAAAGTAATTACTTGCAACACTGATGATGATTGTGTTAAGAGTTGTCCTCCTAATTGTGGATGTTTTGCTGCTAAGTGTTATTTTGGAAAATGTAATTTTAAGTGTAAGAAAGAAGATTAAGATATGATCATAGGTGTAATCAGAGAGCTTTTAGTTATCTTATTTTAGCTAATGAAAAAAAAAAAAGTATTCACTTGGAGTGTTGTTTTGTGAAGATGAGAAATGTTGAATACATGTTTTCCTTGCACTTATTACTCATTGTTTTTAGTCGATCTCAAAAAGAATAATACAAACTTTATTTAGTAATAATTTAACTTTAAAATATTCATTTTATTCTTCGTGAAATGATTTACAGCTATACAAATGTTTATGATTCAAAAGCTTTAAGAATCTTTTTTTCTTTGCCCTTATTCATGAAAATTTCAATATTGAGTAATTCAACCTTAATATATTAGATCTTCAACTTAAGTCAAACTACATTATATAGATTGTTAGATTGAAACAGAGGGAGTATATAACATTGAACGTGGTTTAGCCCATATTTAAACACCCTTTAGTAGACTATTATACACTTTTATACAAGATTGACACATTATATATAGTGTTTTTCCCTTAGATATAATATTATACAGAGGGAAGTATTGAAAATACTTCTGAACTTAACGCAAATTATTCGTTTCATTCCTAAACTATTGACATTGTTAAAAATACCACTGTACATGACTAACTAAATTTAGATGCATCATCGATATATCACATGACATAGCAAGTGGTCTCAAACTCTTGTAGGAGCATAATACTCTCAATAAAAAGTCGAGGGAAGTGTTGAAAACACTCCTTAACTTGGCTGGAATTTAGGGGTGTGTTTCACTTATGTTGCAAGATCCATGGTGTATTTAAATACAATTAATCAAATAAGGTGACGGAAATTTAGGGGTGTTTTCAGGAAGTTAATAGTTCGAGAATGGAACTGATAATTCAAATTGAATTTAAAACTGTTTACAATACTTTTCTCTGTAATATTACATATTGAACTGCGTGACGTAATATTTTATGTTGGGCGGTATATTTTGATAATTTAAACATTCACCCTTGTTGAGGGATATGAGAAAAAAATGATTCTATCAACAACACCAACAAGGCCAACAACTCTCACCATCAACACCAATACTAGTGAGCATCGACGCCATATCCTCCAAATCTTGACACAATGCACTTCAATTTCTCAGCTCAAACAAGTACACGCTTATACTCTTCGAACAACCCCATTAGACCACCCAGATGCCCTTTTCCTCTACAGCAGAATTCTCCATTTTGCTGCCATGAATGATCTTGATTATAGTTTTAAACTCTTTGGTAATTTGGAAAACCCCAATTCCTTCATTTGGAATACTCTAATTAGAGGTTGTGCTCATAGTAATGATCGTAAAGGTGAAGCCTTTTTGCTTTTTCAAAGAATGGTTAAGAGTGTTGAGCCTGATAAACATACTTTCCCGTTTGTGCTCAAGGGTTGTGCTTATCTTTTTGCTCTTTCTGAAGGGAAACAAGCACATGGGGTTGCGCTGAAACTTGGGTTTGATTCAGATGTGTATGTGAATAATAGTTTGATTCATTTTTATTCGTCTTGTGGGTGTTTGAAGGATGCGAGGAAGGTGTTTGATGAAATGCCTGAGAGAAGTTTGGTTTCTTGGAATGTTATGATTGATGCTCTGGTTCAATCGGGTGAGTTTGAAAATGCGTTGAGAATGTTTTCGGAGATGCAGAAGGTGTTTGAGCCTGATGGGTATACGATGCAGAGTGTTCTTGATGCTTGTGCTGGTTTGGGTGCGTTATCGTTGGGGATGTGGGCTCATGCTTATATTTTGAGGAGGTACGAGAGTTTCTTGGATTTTGATTTGCTGGTGAATAATTGTTTACTGAATATGTATTGTAAATGTGGTTCGGTGGATATAGCTGTTCAGGTTTTCGAGAGGATGAATAGACGTGATTTGAATTCTTGGAATACGATGATATTAGGATTTGCAATGCACGGGGAGGTTGAGGCAGCATTTCGTTGTTTTAACCAAATGGTTAGTAAAAGAGTAATGCCTGACTCGATCACATTCGTTGGTATTTTGAGTGCTTGTAATCATAGGGGCTTGGTTGATGAGGGTCATAGCTATTTTGATAAAATGGTTTCCGAGTATAAGATTAGGCCTGTTTTAGAGCACTATGGTTGTCTTGTTGACCTTTTGGCACGTGCGGGGTGTATTGACAAAGCTCTTGATGTTGTATCAAACATGCCAATGACACCTGATGCAGCAATATGGAGGAGTCTTCTTGATGGTTGCTGCAAGAAAAATGCTGACATAGAGTTCAGTGAAGAAGTGGCTAGGAAAATAATGGAGTCTGAAGGAAGTGACACTAGCGGTGTTTATGTTCTTCTGTCAAGAGTATATGCAACTGCTAACCGATGGGACGAGGCTGGAATGATTAGGAAATTGATGACCGATAAGGGTATTAGAAAAGATCCGGGTTGTAGTTTAATTGAAATTAATGGTGTTTTCCATGAGTTTTTCGCTGGAGATACTTCTCATTTGCATACTAGAGAAATTTACGAGTTTTTGGATGTTATAGAAAAAAGACTCAAAGCAGCAGGGTATGTTCCTGACCTGTCACACGCATCAACGGTTGATGAACTTGATAATGGAAAGAGACAGTCACTTAAACTGCACAGTGAGAGACTTGCCATTGCTTATGGACTTCTGAAACTAAAACCAGGTACTCCTTTACGCATTTTCAAGAATTTGCGTATATGCAGTGACTGTCACAATGTAACCAAATTAATTTCAGAAGTCTTTAATGTTGAAATTATTGTTAGAGATCGTGTTCGGTTTCATCACTTTAGGAATGGGTCCTGTACCTGCAAAGATTATTGGTGAAAATAATGTATACTAACATTTATAAATCCAATTGTCAGTTCATATGCTTCTATCTGGCCTGCTGAATTACCCTTTGTAAGTTTAATATTTATCTAGGAGACTAGGACTAGGACATTTATACATAGTTGTAACTGACGTAAATCACCATGTGTGCTTTTTTGGTGCCATTATTTGTTACCACATGTAAGGCGATTAAGAGAAAGGGAAGAATAAATACTAATTTCATATACACGAAATACCACCCTAATCAAAATATTATTTTTATATAGCTTGAAACTTTATTTCCGAACTTAACATAATATCCTTGATCATCAGGGCAAAGAAACAAAATTTCTGGAAATATAAGCAATACAATAGGTAGGTATTGTTTGAATTTTGTCAATAATTACTACTGAAAATTAGCTATCAGTCTCTATAGAATTAATTGAAGGAGCTTTATTCCCCATGAGAATATTTTCACTCTAGGTCTCAGGTTGTAACCAATACCTGCAAAAAGAGTTAAATGTATCATGGCATCAAAATCTAACCTCCAAATATTTAAAAAAAAAACATCAACATAATTGATTCATAACATACATAAGCAATTGAATTACCGTTCTTTTCATCTTAAGTCTTGCGTTTCGGACAATCCTTCTTCAAGTGTCCCTTCTCCTTGCAAAAGAAGCACTTCAGATTTCCATGATTTGGTGATTTCTTTCCCTTTGGTTTCGCTTCCTTTGGTCCTTTTCCTTTATGACCTTGTGATGCTAAGTGACCCGATAGCAATCCTTCTCTCTTTAATCGTTCCTCCTCTTGAACACACATCACAATGAGTTCATCCATGGTCCATTTCTCCTTATTTGTGTTATAACTAATTTTAAATGGACCGAATTGAGAAGGAAGAGAATTGAGAACGAATTGCACCAAAAAGGATTCTGAAATGGTCATATCCATTGATTTAAGTTGCTCTGCCATATCATCCATTTCCATAATGTGCTCACGCACACCACTAGTCCCATTGTATTTCTTAGTCGTAAATATTTCCATGAGCGTACCTATTAATGGCTTATCGGAAGCCTTGAATTGTTGCTCAACAGATGCCAAGAACTCTCTTGCTCGAGTAGAATCTGGTATTGATTTGTTGATATTCTTAGCAATCTTACTCTTCATGATCATGAGGCTTAACTGGTTGGAGTGTTCCCAAGTAGCATAGTTGGCACATTCTTTGAAAGGTTCATCAATTCTGAAACACAAATCTAAATCCAAACATCCCAAAGTAATTTGTAATTGCTCCTTCCATTCACTGAAATTCGAACCATTCAACTTGGGAATGCTGGACATATGGTCTGAAAGAGAATCTGGAGTAATAGCTTGAGGGGAAAAAAAATGTTACAAGTCAATAAGCATTGTGACTACTATGTAAAAACCTAAAACATAACTAATTCACTTTGTTTGTCCTTGGGCAGAATATGATAAGCTACCATTAACCTAGAAGTGATAATTTTCTTTTGTTCACTTATTACAGCTTACAAGTGAAATAATATTAAAATTGTCTGCAAAGTATCTTCACCAAAATGTTAACACCTTTGGGAATTAAAAAGAACTATAAAAAAAAGGACAGTTCGATGCACAAAGCCTCTCGTGTTCAAGCAAAACTCAGGGGAAGGGCTGCACTCCAAGGGGTGTGATGTCGACATCCTACCCTAATGCAAGCATTAATGGATGCTTCCATGGCTCGAACATGTGACCTATAGGTCACATAGAGACAACTTTACCTTTGCTCCATTTTATTTTATGTTGCTCAGACTCTTCAAAAATATCGACAGATGTGTGTCGGATACTCCAAGAATAGTGCATTTTTGGAGTATCCGACATGGATGCGGTGACATTGTTGGAGAACCCGAGCAACATAAGCTCCAAGGCTCCCCTATTGATTTGACACCTTCTAGTTATAGTTGATATTAAACCTAACCTGAGCTACCCATAATCGTCTTTTACGGGTTTACACTCAACACAAGGACATGAAATCTTACACAAACTCTATGTAAAGCAAGCTCTTGCTATTTTAATGGCAATGAACATTCTAGTCTATTTAGAGCCAAAATGCTCAAACAAGTCATGAACCTAAAAATTCCAAAATGTAACAAACTCAAGACAAGTAAAAAGCCTCACCTTTAGATGAAGATGGCAATACAACAACATTCATAGTTGTATTGTTGGGTGGAAGTTGCAAGCTGAGAGGATAAAGCTTCCCATTCAAAGGACTCTTAGTACACACGATAATTTCGTCAAGCCCTGTTGCATCCTCCAACGTCTTAGTTAGCTCCTCAACAGTATTTCCATCAAAGGTTATGCAAAGTTCCTCCATTTTCTCATCAATTTCTCCAAATTCATCAGCAATATAGTAAAATATAAACCTCCCATCTCCCAACTTAGCAAAAGAATCACTTGACTGCAAAAACAAAAGGAAGAAAATTGAGTACCATAACAAAATCACTGAATTCACTAGAGGTGGCAAAACATGGTGTAGATCAAATCTGGGCAAGTCAAAACGGATAAATCAATAATTGGGTCATGATTCAACCAGGCTAGAACTGTGTTGGATCAAAATAGGTTGAGTCAAGATGGGTCAAATAATGGATCAAACCCAACCCGTTAATTGGAGCATTGACAACAGTCCTTATATGATTGTCAAAGATCGTATAAGGAGACAAACAATATTGTGGGACAATTAACACCCCTCCAGACTTGCCAAGACAATTGGAGCGTTGACAATATAATATGGGCACACAACATTGGGACACACAATAACATGGGCTTTACACTGATTGGTCTAACTCAACAATAAAAGTTAGCTTATAAGAAGAGAATTGTCAAAACAAATAACTTATCCTTCAACCAATGTGGGATGCTTAACAATATCTTTCGTAAATTCTTTCAAACTTATATAATCTCCAAAACTGATTTTGTTATTTGACTTTAAATTGTATTTTGACCTGCTTCATTTATTATTTTGATCAATTTTAACTCAATAATTTGATGAGTCGCTTCGACTTCAACCTGTTGGCAAGTAAGTTCAAACTTGGACAGATTAAACGAATTACCAAAAATATAAGTTGATTTTGTCAGCTCACGAATTCACATTCCAAGTAAAGTTGGAAACTTTAGTACCTCTTGTCTAGATAAGCTTGAGGATTCTGAGGAAACAACAGAGGTAGATGTAGATTCAGAAGCACATGAATCTGAAGGAAGACCTAATGGTGATGGCCTCTTAGGAACAACAGAGGAATCACCCAAGATTTCAACAACATGAACATCCCAAAGTACCCAATCTTGTGTAGCCGTCTGATATGGAATATCATGAGTCACAGTGTTTTTCCATGGAAGAATTCCACCATTACCCCTCAAAAATTGCCCATATCGAGTCCTAAGCTTCACTTGATTCCCTTCTCTGATGGGTTCCCATTCAATTGAAGAATCAAGTCGATTAGGCAGAGTCTGCAGGACTTTCCGACCAGTCATACCAAGAAGAGAAGACTGATTAGATGCTGTGAGGTATTTGCCATAACAGCTTTTTAGGCGGATAACATTGTCAGTTTTCTCGACAAATTCAACAGTCCATTTTGCATTTTGTGAAGCTCCATTACGGTCTTGGGTGACGGATTCTCCGTCTTCCAAAGCTGTTAAGTACTTGTAATGGCGACTCTGTAGACGAACGGCTTTTGCTTTTTGGAAAATCTCCATTGCTGGTCTTCTAGTTAGAGGACTCTGTCAAAAACAAAAAATGTTTAACTAATTACTCTTTTCATTTTGCTCTTTAGAACTGATAAAACGTTTTTTGCTCCTGCTAATGACTATTACCATTGTCACCATTTTTGCGTTTCATTTATGTGAACTTATTTTTAGAGTTTGTGACTCTGGGAAAGAGTTATAGAGTGTAGACTTATGGGGTTTGGGGAGGGTAAAGTGTTCGTAGACCCTACCTCGTGGAGGTAGAGAGTCTGTTTTCGAAAGATCTTCAGCTCAAATGTGGCAAATCAAGTAGTTATGAAAAGAAAAAACAACAATTAGAAAGAGTCATATTACCTTAGGTGAGAAAGAGAGACTTGAATGCATAGACATGGGAGAACCCAAATCTAAGGTAGAGAGTTCATCGGAAACCGATGAAAAGTTTGAAACCATCGTCAAATAATCCGTCAACGACTCATCTTCCGGTACATCGACAGGTTCAACATTCCACAAAATCCAATTATGTGTAGTAGCACTATGAGGACTATCATGAGTAACTCTATTGCTCCATCTTAGTGTCCCTCCACTTGCACTCAAAAATTTTCCTCCATAACCTCTTAACTTCACTTGAAATCCATACCTTAATGGTTCCCACATAATCTTCACATCCTCCATATTTTCCGGTGATGTTTGAAGAACCTTCTTTTCTCCTGCTAATAATGAGACGTAAGATTAAAGACGAATTCAGGATTTTAATTTTATGAGTTCGGAATTTTCTGAACAAAACTCACTATATATAGACGATAGCTACTATTTGCGGATGGATTTAGACTCGTATCGAGCTTTTGGTAATAATATATATGTCAATGGTGTAGATAAACTAAGTCATTCAAAAGATGTCTATAACTTTTCATTAAAAAAATAGAATCAGGTATCTTAAAAATAAGGCAAGTTATCTGTCACAAGTAATTAAATGTGACTTAATAGTCTAAAATATGTATATTTTTGTCTGTATATACAAGTTAAACTCTGAATTAGTACTTCCTCTGTTCCAATTTATGTGAAACGTGTCATTTCCTGGGAGTGGATTTGAACCAATCTTTGAAAGCATAAATTGAATTTAGATATTCAAAAATTGTACGAGAAAGTTACAACACCTGTTAGGCTCAAAAGGAACGGCTCGTCAGAAGCAGTGAGGTACATGCCGGAGCTACTTCTCAGCCGTATAAGGTGGCTGTTTTCGGGGTCTGCAAGCTCCACCAGCCACCGAGCTTTTCTAGATAAGCCGTTCCGGCTTTGCCGGATAGTTCTTTGATCATCATCAGCTACTAAGTATTTGTTTAAATGGCTTCTAAATCTTACAGCTTTAGCATCATAAAACAGCTCCATTAGTACTAATTAACTTTTGTTAATAATGGATTATAATTAAGCAAAAGGGATATCAAATAAGTGTATATATAGGAACAAAATAAATAATACTAGTGATGTCACTTTTTAAGAGGAAAAAGATAGTTTTTGTTTGATGATTCTTGTATTATTCTTGCTAAATTGATTAAGCAAGAGGGACAAGGTTACTAAAAACCATTTATAATATTGTATAATGTGTTATTCATGGGTTTAATAATATACTATATAGTTGACTCTTCTTTCCATAAATTACCATTTAAGTGGTTCCTTATGAATAGTCAAACTTAAATCTAATTATAATAATATTTGTTTGTTTGATCAAGCTTTATGGAAAGTTTTATGGAAAGTGAAATATGCTTCTTTTTTTATTTTCAAAGAAGTATCTATTTCAGAGAGTTAAGATGTTTGACCAAGCTTTTAGAAGGAATAAAATAGTAAGTGTTTTGATTTAAGTAATTCTAGAAGCTAAAAGATATAGTTTTTTTTAGTTTTTTTTTTTTGCGAAAGCACTTTAGAACTTTGGTCAACCACAAATTTTACTATATATGTTATTGTTTAGGGTTGTTCAAAATCGAACCGAAATCGATAATCTAAATCAAAAAAAAGTTATTGGTTTACCGGTAATGAGTTATTAGTTTAACAGTTTTTTTTTTTTTTTATTATCTGGTTATCAGGTTTGAACGATTTGAGGTTCTTTCTTAACGGGTTAACCTATAACTCGATAGTGAATTAGAGTAATAAATTATATTTATATCATCCGGTATATAAAGTCCCTGACTTAAGATTTAGTTTTAGATTTTTATTTCTGACAGTCAAACTTTCGGTTATTCTACAATGTGTTAGTGTTGCTTTTGAGCATAACACAATCTATCACTAAGTGATTTACAATCATTTATTTTTCGTATCAAATCTTAAAGGTTAAACCGATAACAATCAATAACCGATAAGTAATATCTTAATGGTTCTTAACGGTTTAGCATATCTACAAATCGATAACCGATAAATGAACTGAACCGATCGATACACAAGTTCTCATTTTATAAAAATTTAAAATTATGAAATTAAAGATCATGGCTAATGCTTGAGCTCCTCAAAGGGGTGGGAAATGGTGGAATATATGAAAAGAAGAAGCCATGGAATTAATAAGAATAATTAAATTAAAAAATAGACCTTTGAATTCATTGAAAGAACGAATTAAATTTTTAATTAGTGGCTAATAATTAATTAATATTGTTGTCTGAATCATGGTGTATAAGGGCAAATTTTTTGGTGTAATTATCCACGCCTTTGATAATGATGTGAGGGAAGTCATTAGAAATAATTTTTTTTAAAAAGGAGAAGGAATGTTTTAGGTATTAATACTTATACTAATTTTAATTAAGTTAGAATATTGATATGGACATATGATCACTTTAGCTTCTTCTTTTTTATATATTATATGAGATGGTTGTTACGTATTATTTCATAATATAATATATGGTGTTTAGGGGTGTACAAAATCGAACCGAAAACCGAACCAAACCACAAATCGAGTCAACCCGAAAAAAAAACCCAACTAGTGGTTTGGTTTGACTTGGTTTGGTTTTGGAAAAAAAGAATCCGACTATATTTGGGTTGGTTTGGTTTTAACTAAAAAAAACCAACTCGAGACCAAACCAACCCGACATTATATATATAATTTTAAAATTTTATTTTATGCATAAAAATATTTACTTTGATATAATTTTTAAATATTTCTTATACTTTTTCATAGTTTTTATCTTTTAATATATTATTTCAAGTTTGAAACTTAGAACTATGAATGGGCCAATAAAGATTATAGTCCACAAATGTTGGTAATTATAATAAAGCTTAAATCAAAATCAAATTAATACTAATGCAAAAAGAAAATCAATTCAACACTAAGAATGACAATAATATTGAATATTTGTTCTTTAGTTTTACATTGGTTTAGACAATTAAAACACATAATCTAATTTTAATTTCCTTTAATATTTAGTCATGTAACTAATACTTATTAAACTTAATTTTAGCAGATTTAGTACTTTAAATTATGATCATTTTCATTATGACTTGTTAATTTGCAATATTTATTTTACGCGACCTCATTATTATTATTTTTGTTGGATATTTTAGTGTCATTAATCATATCATATTGAGTTATATTTTTAAGAAACATCTTAGATAGTTGTATTTTGGTAGGACTAAAGAAATATTTGAAGTACAAGTAAATTATATGTTTGTATGAATACTTTACCGAAAAACCTGAAAAAATCCGCGGTTGAAAAACCCGGTTTTATTGGTTTGGTTTATAAATTTAAAAACCCGACACAAATGATTTGGTTTGATAGTTGAAAAACCCGAACCAACCCGGCCATGTACACCCCTATGGTGTTGTATTTCTAATGAATATAATCTTTTGATAGATTGTAACATTTTTGGCCGTTATATAATTTCATGCATTAAAGTAACAATAGGTAACAACCATCCAAACAAGATATTAATAACCATTTTGTATTAAAATTATCCGATTAATCTAGATTCACATGGTGTATAATTATTTGTTAAAAAAGGATGATTCTTTATCAATAATTTATTTATTCTTAGAGATCAAACTCGATTGTTATGATTAACGTGAAGTAGGCACGTGAAGGGTAATTACCTAATAAAAAAATTGGTCTAACTAATTTCCAAAAGCAAACCCTAATTTCTTTTGTTTAATAACAGTCTTATAAGGTTATGCATTTTGAGATCAGCTTATCAGATTAAGGGACACCCCCTTAATATGGTTTATATCTTGAATTTTGTATAGTTAAGGGAAGTTGAGGCTTAGTGTCCATATATATATATATATATATATATATATTCAGTAACATATCGAGTAAGGGTTCAAGTCAAACTCCTCAATCATCATAAAAATAAATGTTTGGATGATAAAGATTCAAATAAAACTCACCTATCATGATAAAAAAAATGAAAATTTGGATGGTAAAGGTTCAAATAAAACTCCCCAATCATGATAGAAAATGAAAATTTGGATGGTAAAGGTTCAAGTCAAATTCCTCAATCATTGTGAAAAATGAAAGTTTGAATGAATGAATTAACCAAAAAAGAAGGGGGAGTAATCTCATGCGTTTCACCATGTTTTAGCTTTATTCTTCATATTGTCAAAACGTTTCTATATGTATGACTTATGAATCGAAGCAGAACTATTTTAAATTAAAGATGATCAGTTAAATATCTTTAACCCAAAAATAATTGAATATTACTTTCTATATGTATTTATTAACTTTTTAACATACTTTTAAATATGATTTTGAGAGACTCGCCCATTGGCAAAGGTTGATTAAAGTGGCTCTAAACTAAAGATCACAAGTTTAAATCACCACATCTCACATTTTGCTGCATTGGCTTACATTTTATATATTTTTATTTTTTTTGAACAGTTGACCTTTTTTAATTAAAAAATTTGGAAGTAATAAACAAATACCTAAAAATCCTCTCATCTCAAAACCTCTTTGAATTAAAAATCTTTTGCTCATTTTTTATTGAAATTTGTTTGCCTATCAAGAGTTGGGTTATCACAATTAAACAATTGTTGAGTAATTCATTAAATTTGGAAACTAATAAAAATCCCACTAATTTAGGAGTTAATTACTTAGATACACTCTAGTTTATAATATTACAAATTTTATTAGATTTTGGTACATCCAGATACATGTAGCTCGGGATACTTGAGGTCAAAATTAAATGTAATTTGTTCTAGATATATTGTATCCAAGTGGATTTGCATGTATCCAGTATACATAACAAATCTTGTTCGTCTCCCATCTCGCTCGCATCTCCTATATATCTGGTATCCTAAATACACACGAATCACACTAGATACATACATATACATGTATCTAGTGTGATTCGCATGTATCTGCCCTCTAGGATACATGACTATCTTTCTCGCCTCTCTCCCTATTTTAGTGTATCTAGTATCAGAAATACATGTATCTAGGTGTATCTTCTTCAATATATGATAGGAATTTTTTAATTAATAATAAGATATGTAATTATTTTAAAATATAGATATAATTAGTATATATGATATGAATGTATGTCTAATAAGGTAGTTTTCCCTAATCAAATTTTATTATGGCCAATTTACAATGAACAAAAAATCTTGGGCTTCATTGTACCTAATTAATAAAAAATGATTCAAATTAAATTTCCTTCCTATATGAAAATTATAACTTACATAAAGCAAGACTAACTGAATCAATAATTAAACATTTTCTAATAAAACACGATTTCGTACTCAAAGTTAAAAATCAAAATTGATCAAAATAAAAGAATATTTACCATTTTATTACTATCGTGATTGGTTAGAATGTTGAGAAGTGATATATAGTATATGTTTGGAGTCTTGGGACAGATACATGATTCATGAATTTAGAATATGTTTTGTATTTTATCCAACCAAAAAAATCTCAGTTTTTTTTTTCAGAAAAAATAAATAAATACGGATAATGATGAGAGCCAATTATATGTATAAGAACTGAGAGATTTTTCGGTAGGCACTTTACTTTGTGTACAGATAAACCCTTTACTGTGTAATAGTTTGCCAACTGTATATGAATATAAATCGTACTAGACAAGTTCTGTGCTAACAGGCTCGACTCATAAGACGTTAAGGAAAGATCGATCCTGAATCATCTGTATAAACAACCACTCTCCAAACCAATTGAATCGTTCCAAAGGACATTCATAAGAATTAAAGTACAACAATTTTAGACATTCATCAGTTGGAAAGTAAAATATTTTATAGTAGGAACTTGTCTTTGTCAAACATTAAGGATGTGCTTGAAAAGTCAGACTTAAATATGTCCTGACTTGTCAGGAGCATGTAATTTATTTTAAATACATTGTATCCAAGTGGATTTATATGTATTTGATTATCTCGCTCGTCTCTTTTCTCGTATCTGGTATCCCAAATTCATATATCCAGTATATCATATATACGTATCTAGCGTGATTCATATGTATATGGGAGATATAGACTATCTCGTTCATCTAGCTTCTATCTCGCTCGTTTCTCCGTATTTTAGTATATCTACTAGTAATAATTATTAATTAGTGATACAATATGTAATTATTTTAAATTATAGAAAAAATTAGTAAATATGGCATGAATGTTTGTCTAATTAGATAGTTTTTTCTAATTTGTTAAGTGGTGTTTAAAGTCCAATCTGAACAAGTAAAAATAAACACACGGAGTATCAATTAGTGTTGCCTAGTTATTGTATTTTTTCCTATTTCAATCATTAAATACAATCAATATTAGGGATTGTGTTAGGATAATTAAGGTCAAGCTATAATAAAAGTAAGTTACGAATTTGGTAAAATTCAATAATTTTGGCTTTAATTTTATATGTATAGTCACAAACTCACCTAATATACATAAATAATTTATTTGTTATTCAATAAATAAAATAGTGTGATTTAGACTCCATAAATTTAATATTCTAAATCCGTCTCTCGTTGGGTTCCAATTTCCATCACTTTAGGAATGGGTCCTGTACCTGCAAAGATTAATGGTGAAAATAATGTATCACTCGAATTGTCAATTCCACCACTTATATCTGGGCCTGCAGCATTAAACTTGGAAAGATTAAAATTTTGGGAACGTTATAGAAATTCCACTAGTTTCGTAACTAATTTACTTAAATACATTTCAATTTAAAATATTACGAATCTTATCAAACTTTGGTACGTCTAAAGACGTCCAGAGATACGTATCTCGAGATACATGAAGTCAAAATTAGATGTAATTTGTTCTAGAAACACTGTATTCAAGTGGATTCGCATGTATCTGAGATACATAACAAATCTCTCTCACCTTCTTCCCATCTCACTCGCCACTCACCTATGTATCTGGTATTCCATATACATGTGAATCACACCAGATACATACAGATACATGTATTTAATGTGATTCACATGTATTTGGAATACCTGACTATCTCGCTTGCCTCCCTCTCCCCAACTCACTCGCCTCTCTCTCTATTGTAGTGTATCTGATAGCAAAAATATATGTATATATGTGTATGTTTCTCGATATATGGTATGAAACTTTTAATTAGTGGTAAAATACATAATTATTTAAAAGTAAAGATAAAATTAGTGTATATCGTATAAATATATATCTAATAAAGTAGTTTTATATACTATTTATACCTAATTTATGTTTGTGAGACTTTTCATTAAATATAAAAAAGATTACTGTGGTAGTTCAACTATATATCTGTTTTTCAATTTCCCCAATTGACACGTAGAACTTGTATATACAAGTTTAATTGTCTTTCGATTTGCGCTCAAAATTAAATGTCATAAATATCAATTATGGTCAAATTAAAAGACACGTTTATATATAATATCTTAGGCAATGTTATACAAGTTTAATTATCTTTCAATTTGCGCTCAAACTTAAAGGTTATAAATATCAATTATGATTAAATTAAAGAACACGTCTATATATAATGTCCTAGGCAATGTTAAGTAAGATGCCTTTTTTTTAATCCTTTAAAATAAAAATAAGATAAAGTACAACCTCCACACTTACATCCTTTTAATAGAAAGATTAAAAAAGTGGTGCACCTCATTCTCAATGGTGATGTATCAATCTCTTTTGAACAAACTGAAAATCTTACGTTACACCAATATTGAAATATGTAGACGTTACTGCAAACGTTAGACCCTATCGAAAACTTCTTGCTACAAAAAAAAAAAAAACAATTGAAGAAATCTCCTCCTGAGTAATATGAACTAAAAAATCCACCAGATTTCAATTTTTTCAATTATTCTGTGGAAGTGTATATGATGATATTAACATCAAGAGCAGATATTCTAGTAACTATTATATCTCTCTCAATACTCAAAACCTTATGCACAAATGCTTAATAAACAATGGAGATATACATTTACACGACGTTCATCTTTTACTGATACAAAAATCCAGCTACATCCATCTACTGCAACAATCCACGTTAAGTGCTCCACGAGTTGGGCTACAATGGCATTCTTGGTTATGCAATATCTCTAGCCTCTGAAACACGCCATAACACAAAGTTTAACACGTTAGCAAGAAAGACGACTTCAAGTATAGTAAGATTAGCTTCATTGTGTATGGGATTCAACACTACTACAATTATAGAAAGAATGAGGAGATCAGGTGGCTACAGAACACAAGAAGTACTCTCAAACTAAGAATCATGTCATCAATTGATACCCTCGAACGAGCATTCAAGCCATCAGTTGTCAGCCAAATTGATGTAACATGTTAAACTTAAGACTAGCTTTGAGTAAGCTCCTTAATTGTTCTATGTGACGTTGGTTAGAAGGCAATCAGGGGCTAGCATTGATGACGTTTTATTCAAGAACGAGAAATTAGTGACTTGGTTAATTCCAAATGGAAGCTGAAGAGTCAATAGCATCAATAGTGATTATTTTGATTGCTATAAACGTTTATAAGCTCGTTATGAACTAAAATTCTCAAACAGAACGATGGACCTAAAAATTCAAACTTCCACGAAATGAAACCAAGTTCAAGACAAGTAGAATAGTAAAAGTCTCACCTTTAGATGAAGATGGCAAAATAATAACGTTCATATTTGCGTTGTTTGGAGGAAGCTGCAAACGGAGAGGATAAAGCTTCCCATTCAAAGCACTCCGAGTACACACAGTAATATCCTCAAGCCCAGTTTCCTCCTCCAATCTCTTCTTTAGATCATCAACACTATTTCCCTTGAAAGTTATGCAACGTCCCTCTGTACCTTCATCAATTTCTCCAAATTCATCCGTAATGTGATAATATATAAGCCTTCCATCTACCAACTTAGGCGGCGAACTAATCAATGAATCACTTGACTGCCAAAAGAAAAAAAAAACAGACAATTGAGTACCATAACATAATAATCATTGAATTCACATTCCAAATTAACAAGTTCAACCGACACTTATATCTATCGATTATAGCAAGTGATAATATAAGCTGGCTCGAACACCAACATGAACACTCCTAATAATCATAAGCCAAAAGGGTAAAAACACTCGAATACTATACGAGACCAAGTCATATAACAAGTCAACTCGTATTTGTCCACATCCATAACAAGGCTCCAAACCAAAGTGCAACCGAGCCTAATTTTAAATCACAGACAGAACTAGAGGGATAAATTTAAATCTTTTTTCGAAATAATTTGGCATATGAACTCCATCCGGTCCACGCCGGTGCTCTCTTAGGGTAAACCAAAGAAAAGTATGCAGGGACTAATAATCCCAGGATTATAAACTATCCAACATCCAATGTGTGATAGCTAATAGCAACATCTTCGTAAAATATTACCCCCTCCATAACAATTTATACGACACACTATCCTTTTTAATCAATTCTAAAAAATGACAGAGTTCTTTATTTAGTAAGAACTTAACTTTAAAATGTTCATTTCATTCATCCTTAATAAGATGATCCATAGCCACACAAACACTTATTTCACATCATAAATTTCAAAAGTCTTTCTTTCTTTCTTAAACTCTATGTCGAGTCAAACTACATCCAGTAAATTGGGACAGAGGGAGGGAGTAGCTACTCCTCATAACCAAACAGCGGATCAACGTAATCCCAAATTTTATCCCGGATTATGGATCAAAACAACCCCTTAAAGTCAACATCAACAACAAACCAATTTGCTAATGGAAAAATGTTTTTTTCTTCTTAATTGGGACATAGATAGCCGGAACGGAGAGGGGATTACAATGTACTTAATCTAACCTTCACCAACAAGGTGAAAGTTCAAATACCAACTAACTAAGCTACTACGATTCCCAACGAAAAAATGGCTCCAAAATTAATATACCCCATAAGGTCAAAATTCAAACTTCATACAAAAAAATGCAAAAATTGAAGTAATACCTCTTGTCTGGAAAATCTGTAAGATTTTGATGAACCAGTAGTAGTAGCAGAACTCGATTCAGAAGCAAACGAATCAGAATTACCACCCACCACCGTCGTCTCCGCCATCGCCGCCGCCGTCTCCGCCGTCGAATGCGCCAAAACTTCAACAACATGAACATCCCAAAGAACCCAATCTTGAGTTTTCGAACGAAGAGGAATATCATGAGTAACGGAATTTCTCCATGGAGGAAGACCCCCATTTCCCCTCAAAAACTGCCCATATCTCGTCCTTAGCTTAACTTGATGTCCTTCTCCAATGGGTTCCCATTCAATCGAAGAATCAAGTCGATTAGGCAAAGTTTGAAGAACTTTTCTCCCAGTCATACCCAGAAGAAATGGCTGATTCGAAGCTGTTAAATATTTCCCATAACAGCTCTTTAATCGAATAACGTTTTCGGTTTTTTCAACAAATTCAACTGTCCATTTCGCGTTTTTTGAAGCTCCGTTACGATCTTGAGTTACTGATTCTTCATCTTCTTCAGCTGTTACGTACTTTTCATGGTGACTCTGTAAACGAACAGCTTTTGCTTTGTGAAATAGCTCCATTGCTGATCTTTTTGGTAAAGAAATCTGTCAAAACAACAAGAAAATTGATGAAATTTGTGAGATTTGCGAAAATTTTGAGGATATAGAACTTGGGGTAGAAAAAAGATTGGATTTTTTTAGTATATTTATAGTAATTGAAGAAATAATGAAACTGGACGACGGCATGTTTGATGGGGCGACACGCTTTTAAGGAAAGCGCGTTAAATGCTTGACACGTGAGAAAAACAAGGTTGGCACGTGTGAAGATATGTGTTTTTTTTTTTTTTACTAATTGAAGTTTTTATATTTTTAAATATGGTCAAAATTGGATCCATTAAGGAAATGGAAAAAATATATATAGACTATTTATATTTGGTTAAATTATTTAAAAAGATAATTATGGCTACTTCTTTTTTAATTGATTGGTGAAGGTGCAAAAATAGTAAATTGGCTTAACAAAAAAAATTCTAATATAAACAAGTTGAACGGTATCGATAGTACTTTCAATATATATAGCAACTTAAAGTTGGGAAGAAAGTATCCTTCCTGGTTCCAAATTGAGAACGAGAAGAAAATTTACGATATTATTAGCGTGAAGTGAGCTCTAATAATTGAAACGATTAAAAGAGCAGGCTTAGAGCCCGTTTGAATTGACTTAAAAAAATAATTTTTAAGTCAAAAATAAAAAATCAAATTGAAATGACTTTTAAGTTAAAAAATAAAAAGTATGGGAGACTTACTTTTGGTTGTTGACTTATTTTTAATTATTTTTTACCTTGTCAAACACTTCTTGACTTATTTTAAGTTATTTTTTATACTGATCAAATACTTTCAGAAATCAAAAACCGACTTAAAAGTAGATTTGACCAACTTTTAAGCCAATTCAAACACCCTCTTACTTTTATTTTTGATAAAAGGAGGTTCTAGGTTACTTCCTTTATATAAATCTTTTTGGATCAACTTTGGCTCCATACCTATTTATCTTGTGAGACTTTATGTCAAAAGTTTTGACTTCCAATACTTGAAATATATTCTTCTAGTTTGAATTGTATGAATTTAAAAATTGACCTATATTACACGTTTGCAATCTAACATAATGTGAAGAAAAAGTAACTTAAGAATTTGTTGTGAAGTTACCTATGTGATATTCCTATTTGTCTGGATTGCTTTTTTCTATGGGGTATGAATATTTGTAATAGCGTTTAATTAATCTGAATTCAATTTTTGCATGATTTATTGTTAGAAGTAACGTTTTCAACATAATTCTTGTTATTTTCAAAGTTCAAATTCAAAATATCTAAGTAAAAACGTAAGAATCTCAACCATCCCGCCTATCTTTCTAGTCATTCTAATAGAATCATTAAAATATAGGTTGTTGGTTTATAGAACAAAAAAAGGATAAAGAGGGTAATCAATTACCACACAAAAGTAGGAGTGTATGTTATGAATATTCTTTATTATAGCCTAAGGCTTCTCAAATATAATATCAGAAATGACGAGGCAATAATCAAAAGGAGGTCAATTTTGTATCCTTCTTCACAAATTTATTTTCAAAAAGACTTAATAAACAAGCTACAGCCAATTTCTAAACAAAATTATAGGACTCAATTACATTCAAGCTAATAGTTAATTTGGGTAAACTTTGAAAATCTGTTTTTTCTTTTAATCAAAAGTATTTTCCGAAAAATTAATTTTATGGAATTGCAGCTTGTATTTGACTAATCAATTAAAAACATATGTCTTTTTCTAATATTAATACATTAATATGCGTTTGACAACCATTTCAAAAATATTTCGAATGAGAAATTATTATTTTTTCAATTTTTAAAAAACAACTTCCATTACTATCGAAAAATTAAGTTTAGCCAAATCAACTTTTTAAAATAAGATATTTTTAATTTTCAAAAGCTTAACCAAATATACTAAAATGGTGATATTTACTTAATTAACTACTTTTTCTCAACTCTTTTAGTTGAGGTAGCAATCATAATTATATCCTTTAATTACTTCTTTATCTCAACTTCCTTCTTTGTTGTTAGTTGTTACGTAGTGAAGACTACTTCCACTTAATTATGGTTTATAGAAATGTAACATAAACTCCTACAAAGAAGTATTCATTTTCCTAATTAGTAATTAGTCATATTCCCATTTAGCTAATAAATCTAAAAATCTAGCACTAAACACAAAAGACATGCTAGTAATTATGTTAATTATTAGAATCACTCGGAGTTATGGTGGATGAATATAATATTTTTATTCTTAATTAAAAGATTTAAATATTAAAGTTTTCTTTAATAAATCTTATGCAATATGAATTTAAATTAACCAGGCAATTCACGTAGTTAGTAATTATAAACGATAATAATGACGTAATAAAACAACAAAGGCAATACACAAAGAAAAAAAATAATCTTAAATTGACAAAACGAAGAAACATACCTTAGCACTCCTAGGTGAGAAAGAAAAACTCGAATGTACGGAAGTTGGAGATCCTAAATCCAAACTTAAAAGTTCATCAGAAACTGATGAAAAACTTGAAACCATAGTTAAATAATCAGTCAACGATTCATTTTCGGGCACATCGATAGGTTCAATATTCCACAAAATCCAATTTAGTGTGCTACCACTATAAGGATTATCATGTGTCACTTTATTTCTCCATGGTGGCATTCCTCCATTTGCACGTAAATATTTTCCTCCAAAACCCCTTAATTTTACTTGAAATCCATCCCTTATTACTTCCCATTCGATTCTCAAGTCTTTCATCTTTTCAGGCAAAGTTTGAAGTACCTGTTAAAAATATAATTAAATATAAAAAAAAAAATGTATATATTTTTTAAAATAAAATAATTATATCACTAAATGATAAGCATAAGCCAAAAATATGAGTCCAATCTTGAAACTATTTATTTGATAGGAAAAAAAACTCATGTTCGATTCAAAAAAAATTTGAGCACCACCGAAATCAGAATTTCAATGAAGTAAGTACTAATCTTAATAGTTAATACTATTCTTTTTTTTTTTTAAAAAAAAACATCATATTTGATCCAAAAAATATTTAAAGAGTAGCAGTGAAATTAGAATTTCAATGACTTAAGCATAAGCAAAAATCTTAAGTCTAATCTCAAGACTATTATTTTGAAAAAAAAAAAAACTCAGAACTTCATATAACAAAATTCAGAAAAAAATAAAAATCCACAACTAGAATAAAAACATGTGAACTAATCCAATTTTTCAATCCCTTTTTTTTTATGTTTTCTTGTATAAAGAAGATTCAACAATTTATATAATAATAATAATAACAATTTAAAAAAAATTATCCAATCAAACCTTCGCCCCAAGCTATCTCTAATTTATCTCTAATTTCAGGGACGTATTGAAAATATAATTAAGTAAATAAAAATATTAAAATTACGACATATAATTACTATAAGTAAAACTTACCTTTTTTCCGGTCATGCCAAGAAGAAACGGCTCGTCGGATGCCGTGAGATACTTGCCGGAGCTACTTTTAAGCCGAATAAAGTGGCTGTTTTCGGCTTCGACAAGCTCAACAAGCCACCGGGCTTTTCTTGATGAGCCGTTTCGGCATTGTCGGATATTTTCTTGATCATCATCGGCTACAAGGTACTTGTCTAGATGACTTTTTAATTTTACAGCTTTGGCTTTGTAGAAAAAATCCATTAATAAAATTTTTGTAACTAGTGATGAATATATGGAATTTAGTAAAAAAAAAATTGAAGAGGAATAATAATAATGGATTTATTAAGGAAAGGGTATAGGAATCAAATATAGAAGAATTAATAAATAATTGTAGTGATTTTTTTTTGGTTTATATAAGGGGAGAAAAGATAGGTTTTGTTTGATGGTTTTTGTAGTCTTTGTTAAAGTGATTAAGGAAGAGGCTAGAGGGACAAGAAAGTCCATTTTATATTCATTTTGTAATGTAATATAATATATAGTCGACTCTATCCGCAGTGTGGTGATGGAACTGTTTTATCCTTAATCAGAAGTTTTGAGTTTGAGCTCTTGATATAAAGAAAATCATGTTGGAGTGTCACCCTCAAATGGACCCTAACGTGCGTGTTCCAAATTTATTCGGGGTTCAATATAAGTTCTGAAAATCCGTGAGAAACCAAAAATAATAATAGAGTTTATTTTATATATAGGACTCCTATTCATTTGCCTTCATTTTATGTTTCTTCTCTATGGCAATTTATGAATAATCAACGTTTAATTATATTTTTAAGTGTGAATATATATCATATTTAGGAATTACAAATCATTTTTTTAAAATCAAATTAATACCCCTTGCTTACTATAATTACTTATAGTTATATATCCCTTTCTGTTCATTTTTATTTGTATGTTATTCTAAAAATTAATTTTTATTTTTATTTGTGACTTTTATAATATGAAGAAAAAAAGTTTTGTTTTCATGTTTTATTCTCAACATTAGTTACTTATTCCTTAAATTACTTTTCAAGACTCAATCGTAAATGTCAATTAATATAAGTATTATGTTAAACTACTTATATCAAACATTATTTTTTAAGGAGAGCGTGAAATCTAAAATTAATAGATAAAAGTGAACAAAAGAAGTATATATTAAGTGGTGCGATTAGTAAAAAGAATTTTTTTTTCACACATAAGTTTATAAAATTTCAAGTGAAAGTTAATTTAGTTATTCAATTAGGTAATGATGATTAGTGTAGAGATTATGGCTAATGGTTGAGCTCCACATAATGATGGAGATGTGAAAAAGAAGAAGACTATTAAGAAAATAGGAGAGTTAAGGTAGACCGTTGAATTAATTAAATAATGAAATTTCGAGGCAAAAAATTGGTAATAAATTTAATAATCGTCCACGCGTTTAAAAGGATGTGAGTGAAGTCTTTGGAGAAAATAAAAGAAGTTTCTATGTGTAATATATTCCTATGCACCATTTCAATTTATTTTGCGTTAAATTAGGATTCAAACCTAATTCACGAGTTCAACATCAATCTTACTCTTATCGAAATGAGGTATTTTTACCTTCTTAATTGATTTTTCAGGGTTTTATATAAAATAAATTCGACTTTGATATTATTATGTCAAATTTAATTTTGAATCTAGCTCATATTTCAAAAGTTAGCTTAAATGAATAAAGATTGTTTGAGTTTTATAAGAAACTTAGAGATTTTATCCCCGATTAGTGTGGAATTCATTCCATTCACTAGTTTATCTTAGTTTAATTCACATATCTTCGGTATTAATTGTAATTTAAAAAGTTAATATTAATAAAGACGGTAACAAATTATAAAAGAAAATTAGACAAATAAATTAAATAAGAAGAAGTACTAACTCGAAGTTAATAAAGTGAGAATATGATATAGCTTCATTATATTTGTACATTTTTTGTTTTTGTTAGTATTTGTATATATTGTATGGTCCATAAGAAGACAAAATGTATACACATTATACGTGGCATAAAAAGGATTCAACAAAAACCGTGACATCCTTTCCATATCCTCTATTCTTTCATTTTCTTGGTCCTATTTGTTGTATACTCAAAAGAAAAAATTATGCATACAACCAAAGAAGACTTCACGTCTAAGATATATATTATTACGATTGAGGGTGGAGAATACTTGCCATCTGAATAAAAAATTAAAATATATCAAAATTAACAGAAAGATGCTACACAATAATAAAAAAAAATAGTGTAATTCTATGCACATCTTATCAATATCTTTTAAAAGTAGAACGAACAATAAGAAAGAGAAAGCACGAGATGCATAAATAACAATAAAAAATAAGATAACGAGGTTAAATAAAAACAAATAGTAATAATAATCTAACAATACGGAAATCAAGAAGAAGAATATTAATACTCTGAGAAGAGAGAAACGAAAAACGTCCGTCTATCTATTATTCTTCTATTCTAATCTTTGACATTCACCATCTTCTATCAAGGGTCATGTCCTTAGTGGGTTGAAGTTGTGCCGTACTCGTCCTAATCACCTCACCTAAATACTTATTAAGATTACATCTACCCCTCTTCAGCGCACAACAACCAACCTCTCACACCTTCTAATCGGCACATCTAATCGGCGCATCTGTATCTCGCCTCTTCACATGTCTGAACTATCTCAGCCTCACTTTCTATATCTTGTCCACAATGGGACCACGTCCACCTTGTCCCTAGTAACTTCATTTCCAATCTTATCTATCCTCGTGTGTCCACACATCCACCTCAACATCCTTATTTCAGTCACTCTCAACGTCTTAATATGAAGGCGAGTTCTTAACAAGTCAACACTCTGCTCCATAAAACATAATCAATCTAAATTTTAATCACCACTCTATAAAACGTACCTTTAATTTTAGACTAATGGCACATTTCTATCACATAAAACACTATATACGAATCTTCATTTTCCTTCCCTAATGTACAGCTTGTACTGCATATCCTAAATCTGCATAAATCAAATGAAGTCGTCATGTTTTGGCTTGGGAAACAATTCCTGGAGAACTTTTACCACTACATCAAAGGAAAAATTTAGCGGCAATAGTTTAATTATCTCTAAATATGATTTTTTAATAGCAATTACATTAGTGATAATTACATTTTAGTATTCTTTGCAAATGTCACTAAAACCTATAGAGACATTAAATATAATGGCAATTAATTAATATCGATAAAAAATTTAGCATTGTTTGTTAATTGCATATGTATTGATGCTAAAATCTATTTTTATTGTAGTGTATACGAATTTCTACGTAAAAGGTTGTCATGTTAAGAAGAATTCTATCATAATTTTGATAAATAATTGATAATAATTTAAGAAAAAAATAAAACTCCTGATAATTAGATAAGAAATAATCATTTTTTTTCTCAATTTAATTTGATTTATCAATTTGATGCCATTTCTCGATTATTGTAACACCCCTAATAGAGACCATCATCATATTTCTAGGCAAAAAAAAAAAAAAAGATTTAAAAATTGTGCACGTATGGAACTTTGCCTATTTGGAAAATTTTAATGGAAAGGACAAATTAAGGCAGCAACAAAAGAGAGTAAATATACATTTTAAGTGGATAAAGGTAGGTATGGTAGGTGAATGTACCTTTCATCACTTGTGTGATTGCACTTGACACTCAAAATCTAGCTTTTTTTTTCAAATCTTTTAAAAAGGTTAATAATTTATTTGTAATTCATATTTACATTACGTCAATAAATATATTATATATAATGCTTCAATCTACTAGTGATATTGTTTGCTTTGAACCTAGGTCTGCACGACTTTAAAATACATTACTAGGATGTAAGATATATACTTACTTTTATATTCAACATCTCTTCCGTGCTTTTTTTATATAGGACTTCTTGTTCTAAGCTGGAGTGTTACATCATATTTGTATGTTATTAAACTATTATTGCTTAACCATGATGTTAACATATAATCTTACCTTATTAACTTGATCATGATAAGTTAATATGATTTTATGGAATAAATATTGAGTGTAAATAAATATTTAAAAGGTAAAAACTTATTCGTGCTAAATATATACACCATATTAATAAATGCATGATATATATTAGTTATTAGACTAATATTGCTTAGTCATGATTAATTGATATACAATATTATCCTATTAAATTAGTTAATCAAGATAAGTGATACGATTTTGATGTAATATACAACAATATTTGAACGTTTGGTAATTACTGGAATTGGTATTAAATATACTTTGAATGTTGACAGTATGATTATTTAATCTTGCACATTTAGTTGTAATTTTTACAACAATTCAATTGCATAAGATTATAAATTCAAAAAAAAATATAAAATAGTTTTTGAGCTAGACATGTTGGATTATGACTTATAGAATTATAGAACATATCTTGATTCAAGTGAACTTTTAATATGATCACTTTATTGATTTTTCTTTTTAACACATTCAAACTTGATTTAGTTCTCTCATATTTAAGAATCCTTCTTTAAAAGTAAAGGTAGGGATGGGGAGTTATAGATATAAGTGTTTTGCTTAAGTTTATAAACTGATCAAATTGACGTACCTTTTTAAAGCTTATTTATGTGTTTAGTAAACATTCAAAGTATTTATAAATTAAAATTAGTCAAAAGTCATAATTTGATCATTCTTAACTTATGACTTTTCAGCTTATAAACACTTTTAGTTCGATCAAATTATTTACTATATATATCTTAAGAAGGATCATATTTATGTTTGGCACCTTGAAACATTAAAGCCAATTTGGTGTATTGGTTTGGTGATCGTCTTAATCCCTTGTGTGAGCGTGATAACTTGAGTTTGAATCTCATGGTTGCATTTTTCTTGTCATTTCTTCTAAACAGAAAGCATATAAAACAAAAGTAGTTTCTTTTTGTTCTCTTGGTGACTCGAACCAGCAAATTCGTAACTTAAGAGCTAGAGTTGAAGGGAGTTTGGAACCTAAATTAATAAGCCACAAAAACATAAAAGTGACCAAAATAAGTCATTATTTTAGTAAGTAACTAAAATAGGCTTAGTGGAAGAAAAAAAATCCACTTTATCTAATATTCTAAACGTTTTCCGTTAGTCTCATAACGTGTATATTTTAATACATAACGGGAACTATTTCCTACACTTTATAAAATGGAACTATTTCTTACACTTTATAAAGTGTAAGTTTTTCTTACACTTTGTAAAGTGGAACCTTTTCTTACACTTTATAAAGTGGAAGAAAAAATTATGTTTTACAAAGAGGAATAATTTTCACGTTTTTATCTCTTTATGAAGCTTTTGCGATGTTTGTCATACAATTATATTGACTTGACATATCAATAAAACGGAAAAAATCATTACATTATGTATTTTTATTTTTTTATTCTGAAAAATCCTCCAATCTCTGTTTAAGGACGTTCAAACATAGTTGATA